AGAAGCTGTCTGAGCTGCCCAAGACACATCCTGAACACAAGAAGAGCCTGCTGACTTCAACCGGACCCCGCACACGGCTGCATCTGAGTCATCTGGATTTTGTGCTTATGAGTACAAAACCACTTGCTGTGACCCAGATGGAATTAACAGAGTATTCTCCTTATTTCTAATTGTTAGATCATCCTTTCTTAACTTCAGCAAAGATGACTTGCAGACTAAGCCTCTTGGGGATCAAGGCAGTTGTTTTGTTTGTACAGCATTAGCACAGCAGGATCCCAGGCCACAAATGGCCTCCAAGGCTACCTCTACACTGTTGTACTAGCTCCAACCTCAATTCTTCATTTAAGACCAAACTTCCCAACTATCAACACCGCCTACACAGAGGTTCATACTCTGGCCTCGTCAGGAACATGAAGTGAGCTCACACCTCGTGTAGAAACCAGCTCAGGCTTGAGCTATGCTCCATAAACAGTACAGATGCAGCAGTTTTGAGCTCTTTCCTCTAACAAGGACCACGCTGCCCCAAACCACGTTTGAGCTCATCACTCCGTTCAAGCAGATTTAGCACGTTCCCTGCCACTCCCAGCTTTCCAATTCTCCATGTACTTGGTTTTCAAATTTTACATGATATATTTTGCCTGTGGCACAGTAGATCACTTACCCTTCTCCCATTAGCCCTCTCTGTTTAATTACAGTTTAATGTGAATTGATCTTCACATTAATGAGCCTGTAAAGAAGATTGATTTTCTTCAAGAGACTTTTATGCTCCGTTTGGCAGCAGAGTAGTCCTATTGATTTCACTCTCCCCAGTAAATATGCTGCAGTGTCACTGCATCCTCTGTGAATCACCTAATCCTATTTCACACTCTTTTGCTCCAAAAATCCCTATTCTGACTTCCTTGTTATCTGTGCTTATTGAGAGCAAGATCATGGGGCCAAAGCATCTCAAGCAGCTTTGACTGTTGCTAATATACAGCTGACTGCCGTGGGTCACTATCCCCTTTGTTCCTAAATGGTCCGGGGCTTAAAAGACTTATGAGTGAAAGAAACTAATGTTATTTTTAAGTGTTTAAACTCTTAACTTCCTTAATTCCCAGCCAGCTAAGGATGCAGGGCAGTGTGCTCTGTTTACCATGCTTGCTTCAGGTCTGGTTAGCAAGCTTTCCACTGAGCTCTACAGCTACGGAGCAGCCTGTGCTGGCATGCCTGCACCGGCAGATGCTGACTGTATCAGGCTGGTCAGCTTGGAGTCAGGGCAGAGGACAAAGATCCATCATTGTTATCCCATGTAGACATCCCAAATGCCCCTCAAGATGCATTGACCCACATGCAGCTAGATGAAGCAGTGGCAGACAAGCCCTAGCGTATGGGCTGAGCTTGTGCCCACACAGAACTGACTGCAGCTCAAGTCCTCCTCTTTACCTGGCTTGCTAGCAAGACTGAGACTCTCCACACAAGTTATTGAGGAGCTTGGATAGAGACTCAGTTCTGCTGGAAATAAATGGTTTCTTCTACCTTCCCCTTCCCCACCACATCAGGTAAAAGTCTCCTCAAGAACCTACAGAGTTAATAATGCACTTGAGTTGCAGGAGAAAGGAACATTGGGAAGGGAAATCCTCAGCCAAGAGCATGTCAGTGAAAACATCCTGCCATCAACTCCCAAGTGTCCAAGTCTAGGAACTGTAGCTAAATTACAAATGCTGTGGGAATTTCAGGCAAGATTCTCCTCTCAGCTACTCCGATGTAATTTCGGAATGAATCCAGACTCGGTCTCTCCCCTCCCAGCTGAATTTCCTGGCTTTTGTTTGCACTAACAGATGTTTGCATTTAATGTCTGTCTTTATTTGGTAACCCGTACGTAAGATTATTTTTCCCTTCTGTTCTATTAAAAGCCTTATCAAGTCCCTTATGTTCGCTCTTGTCGAGATGGACAACTTTGGCAGCATTTTCAATGTGCAAGGGAAATAAACTGACTCTTCAAGGAATAATTAAGCCGAACTAAACTTCATGACAGTATAATAGGGCATAGCATGTTTGCTACATATGTCTGCATCCATCTGCAGCCTGAAACACCCAAAGATTTGTAAAGAACCTTGAGAACTATCTGTCCAACAGATTCCCACATGCTTACATATACGCATAACTGGCCCATGGTCCACACATATGTGGGGGTCACGACTGGGGTGATGGAGACAGGTATGGGAAACCCCTAAACAGCCACCAAGCTCATTAAAAGAAACCTTCTTGGAAAAGGAGAAAAAGTCTCTTCCCTACTTTAGGACGAGTAGGATATGAAGTAACTCATTCAAAGGGGTTGTTTTGAGTGACAAATATACAACCCTTGGTTTTATAATACATGTGCAGCCCTTTGGAAATACTCAACCACATGCAATATACAAGACCTACTTCAGAGGTTTGTGAGGTAAACACACTTCACACATTTCTAAACACTGAGAAAAAAAGAGGAAATGTATTTATTTTTCTTTAGCAGTAAGAATACACTGTAACACTATACACTTAAACCAGTCTCTCAGTACACAGTCTTCATTATGAGTCTTCACCCTGGGTTTGGTTTGGCAGCCTCCCCAGTTATTACTTCACAGGTTTGAAGGCCAGAAGAAACCAGTATGACCATATTATCTGATTCTTTACATCACACGCAGCCAAAGAACTTTACCCAACAATTTGCTTATCAAGCCCATTAACCCAGAGCTGAACTGAAGGACCATCTTTTAAGAAGCAATCCGATTGATTTAAAGACTCCCAAGGACAGAGAAAGCTTCACTTCCTCAGCAAATCATTGCAATGCAAGTTAGCAGCATCGATTAAAGCAGGTACATTAAAACAGCTTGCAGATTATTTTTACCTCTGATAAAAATTAAAAGGAAATGCAAGGGGGGAAGTGGCATTCTCTGAAACAAGCTAAACAAAGAGATCCTTCTTGCGGAGGTATGACAGCAGCATTACAAATCCCACTATCAGAGTTATTTATGTGTAGCAGCTGAGGAGAGCACTACAGATTTCTGGAAAGTGATCCTAAGCAGCTCTGTTTAGAATACCGTCCTTTTATCATTTGCCTTTGTACCTTTCCTCTTCCTTCTGCATCACTCTTAAATTTCAGAAGAGCTGTAAATCTACTGCCTTCCACCAGTCAGTATTCCTCCTTTCCAAACTGCTTACTTCATTTCAGGCATAAAAACCCCAAAGCTCCGGCAATTTGGGCCTTTGCCAATAGCTAAATTAATAGCAAAAATAACAACAGGGGCTTGTGAAACTCAGATCATTTATAGACTTCGTGAGAAAGAAAAGCCAATTTGGGGGGCCTAAAACTATATCCTGGATGGTAAACTGTGCGCAAGCTATCCCACCCATAAATCAGAGTTCTGGAGTTCTTTTTGAGTCCCAGTGCATAGCACACTGGGTTACGCCACAGCCTGGTGAGCTCAGTTCAAGTGGCAGGCAGATGGCCTCTCATGTCAGGGGATCGTGCCTTAAACAAGGGACCCTGCTCAGGAGGGAGCTGCCACCCTGCTCCGCAGCCAGCAGCCCCCAAATCACGCATCCAGGCTTCACATGTGGTCACGCGAGCAGCGAGAGGCAGCGTCAGGAGGCAGGAATCAAACAGGATGGTTTCACACCGACTGCACACGACTTATTTGACAGGTCTGGTAAGTGCTGAGACACAAGCCACCCCTCCACCCAGGAGGTGAAGTGGTTACTTATGCATTTAATAGAGACAACACTTGCTAGATCCAGTGCTTGTGATAGCAGAGGAGCACTTTGGCTCTTCACGAGCTCCGCAGGAACGCTGTATACCCAAGAACCAGATGAAAGGAGCCGTATCTCAAACAAAAGTTCAACTCACTTCACACCAGGAGTGAGTTCCGGACAGCAATTTGAAGCTAAGATCCTTAACCTGAATTAAGTCAGTGAGGGAGTTTGTCTGCTTTGCATATTTTAACATTGCCTAATGGAAGAGCAGGAACAGTGCCAGTTCATTTCACCCAATTCTGTCCTTCATTTAAGGAACAGGAATGTACTTTCAGTGCTTCAGAGCAAATCAAAGCCTTTTGAGCATGAGAGGCCAGTCACCTGGTAGTATGGACATGGGCATCTTCCACTATAAGGAGAGGCAAATCCATGGCAAATATGACACTGCAAGGCCATGCACACTGGAAGCCATCACCTGAACTGCTCGAACACTTTGCTGGAGTCCATATTAGCTATAACCACTTCCCCTTCCCAGGAACTTGGGAGGTATCATGTATACCTCAGCAAAATTCCTTCTCGGTGTGTATTACAAGCAGACACATGCAAAAGTAATTCTAGAAATCCAAATTCTTAAGGTGTAAGTAGTTTGATATTATAATGTCTTTATTGCCTTCTGCAGCATCCTTAAGAACCTCGGCGCAGATACATAAGGGCTCTCAGGTGTCTAACACTTTGTGGGCACCTAAACTACTAAAGAGTTAGGAACTTCAAAGCTTCTGCAGATATACCCTTACAATCACCAATCACCCTCTCAAAAGGAGGGAAAAAAAAGTTGAAAGAGACCATAAAAATGGGTCTGGAATGAGTTCCCCGAAGGATTAAAATGTGAATGGCTTTAAGAGAAGAGATCAGAACAAGACCATGTTAAAAAAACTCCACAATAATAAAGGTAAAATTATACACTGTTTTAACAGCACGAGTATGACATAATGGTTGAAACTCAAAGGCAGATGAGAAAAAAAGTGATTTTACTCAATATGCAGTAACCTGGGGAATTTCCTGATATAACTTATGACATGTTACCACTGACCATAAGGACAGCAGCAACTGAGCCCAACCTCACGCAAGTAACACAACTCTGCATGTTCCTTCATTGAGGTGCCCACAAACCTGACAATGAAATCTGAAGAATCAACAGAAGCGGGTGTGACACACACAAAACCCTCCATCAATGGCACCTAAACCTACCCCATAAACCACCCAAAGCCAGAAGAGCAGCAGTGACTTACAGGTGGAGGGATTGGACGCTGGAAGCAGCGGGTCCCAGGGAGGGAATGGTGGTCAGCTCATTGTTGTCCAGTCGCCTGCAACAAACACAAATTAGTTGTTGAAGCAAGCAGCCTAAAACCGAGCACACAGAAGCAGGGGATGGCTTCAGCACTTCCTTATCCAACCCCCGTGACTCCCCAGGAATGCTGATGTTTTGGCATCAAGGGGTTTGTCTCGATCTCCCCAATGGTCCCACCTTATCCTCCAAACCCAACCATTTAATGAAGGAAAAGCACCATAACTGGTCCCACAGGATCTTCTTCACAAAACCAAGGCTTTTTATCCCCCCTTCCACTCATTTCTTTAAGCAAAGCCACCAAGGATGGTCCTTATGCCACTCCAGCTCGAGTGTCCACAGTCATCACGGAGCCAAGCCTAAGACAGGAGACTGCACCCATGGCCATCCTCAGGACGATGAGTTTAACTCCCTCTCCACAAAGCAGCCTTTACTTGCCCCTCCATGCCAGGCCAGGGTGCCATGGCCATGCAGAATGGTGGTCTCAGTCCTTCTCCCCACACCATGCAAATCCTACAAGGGCAGTCCCACAAAGCCACAAACACACACATAAAACCCACTGTGGGCACAGCAATGCCATCAAATGCAGGTGACCCACTCCAGCCAGGGAGCACCATGCAGCCCCCCCTGGGGCTAATGGCAAATGCAGACAGAGCCCTGCTGCTGGAAACTGTGGTATAAGAATGTCTCCTTCAATGGCCTAATGTTTGAAGTGTTTTTCTGACTGAAAACAGATCCTCACCATGTGACCGGCTCTTCCTTGGTTTAAAGAGCCCTTGTTTGTATGGTGAATTAGTCAATTAATTACTGTAACAGTCGCTTGTCTGGCTGCTTGAGAATTACCTAATTTCTCAGCCATCTTGCTCCCCACTGCCACATGCCGAAGTGATTAAAGCTGAGCAGGGCAGCACACGGCAGCTCCACAGGACCCCAACCACCTCTGATCAGCAACTGCTTGAGGCAAAGCCTCACTGGGTCTCCCGACACTGCCTTTAAACCATTCCCTTCTGCTCTGACCACCACTGGGTGCAAGAAGCAGAGCATCCCCACAGCAGGCAGGGGACCACAGTGCAGTTAAGACACAGCATGAGTCAGGCAATCCTAGATTATGGTGATTCTTTATTTCTTTCCTTTACAATGATTTTTGGAAGGTGGCAGATGGCAGTAGTACATCCATCCCAGAACTTCTTTCTGACTTCTCCGAGAGCAGGCAAGGGATTTGATTTCATGAGGAGCTCCAGGCACTTCCCAGATAAAAGCTCTCCTCAGGCTCAGCTCTGCCTCTGACATTATACCCATACCTTAAAATGTAAGGCAGAAAAACAAAGCCAGATGCATTGCAATGCAGCATGGAGCTCCACTTTGCAACTAAAAGCTCATCATTGCTCCTATTACGGCAAGGATATAGGGCTTTCAAAGATAAAAAGCTAGCTGGAAAGAGCATTATATTGCTTATATCTGTGCCGTGTTTTCATTAACATCCAACTGAGCATCTTTTGAAACAAGATGGGAGGAGGATAGGTGGGCTTATGCTCCCCTAGCCTGGGTCAGCTCTGCTTAAGCAGCTCCAGTGCCAACCGGCATCTAACTGGTCAACCCCTCCTCTGACATAAGTGTGATTTTCATCTATCAGCCTCCTGTCAGGCCAGAAGTGGTTTTCCCACCTCATTTTCTCTCCTCGTTCACATGCACCAGGTGTCAATACAGAGCCAACAGCTAACTCAGTGTTTGCCTTGACTTCCCTCCCATCTTGTCCTTCTCCCATATAAAGGAGCAAAAAGGAGGGGAGGGCAAAAACCAGCCAAAACAGAACAGCCAGGCTCAACAAATTTAAACTTTCAGCCTCCTTCCTCCTCCCCATCCCTCCCCTTTGACGACACAAACCCGCTGCCTTTGGATGCTGAGGCAGAGGAGGAGGGGGGCCACCCATATAAAATATTTACGGTCCAGTTGCCAGCCTGGTGTCAAGCTGAAATGGAGCCTGCTCAAAAACAGCACAGCTCTCCAAAGCCTTCAGTGAAAGGCACTTTAGCAAATAAAAGGTGAGTTGTTTGGGGAGGAATTTCAGCACAGTTACTACTTCTCTGTTACAAATGGGCTTGGAAAACCTGAGAGCTGTGCAGCCATTGCTTTCATGGATCCTGTGATCCATATGACCTGAGGAAGCTCCAGACAGGACCACAAGGTCTGCCTAAAAGCAGCACCCTCCATCCCACCCTTTCAGTCAAGGGATGGGAATGGACAGACCGCGGGGGTTGTTATTAAAGGGGGAGCACTGGTGACCTGAAGTAATGTCCCACCCCAGCCCTACCACTTGAGCCTCCATCAGTACAAAGCTACTTATTTCAGAGCATGTGGGTTTCATATCGCTTTGAACCACTAAATTTCATCCCACAGACTTAATTATCCAACGGGAAAAAGCTTCTCAAGCCTTCACCCCACCCAGGGAACAGGAAAAATGTGGGGTAAATATGTAACTTTATTACAATCTCAGTAAAGCAAAACCAAAGCACCCAAGATAAGCTATGGAGTTTAAACCTTTTGGTCTGCAGACATTTTCTTAAAATCAAGGGAAAACAAAAGGTTTTCAAAATGTACCACACTTATTATTCACACGCAGAGAGACAGAGAACTTTGAGCCTTATCTGTAAGGCTCAGGAACTACAGGCACCATGTTGGTAGCATCATGGGAGGTTTCAGGTTTTGTCAATGCATCTATTATTTGGGGCAATGTCTTCCCCTGAGGGTGACTTGGTTTGCCCAGCACAGCGCACACAGCAAAACACCAACTTGCTCTCAGGACATGCTACAGCATGATACTTGTTTCATGACTGTTTGTAAAGTGCTTAATAAAAAAACCCACTCTCAGAGAGGAGATGCTCGGGCAGTACAGATGTGGTTCTCTTTGTGAAATGCAGTTTATTTCAGTGGTCTGTGGTTTAGCTGTTATTCAAAAGCAACCAAGATTGGTAGATAGGGCTTTTAATAGAGCTTCTCCCTCACACTTTCCAGAGCCTGCCTTCCAGGCTCTGCTCCAGACCTCTGCCTCCCTCCCAGTCTCCCATTTCTGACTGCTCCCTTTTCCCTCCTAACTCACTCCTCTGCTCTCTCCCTTTTACCTAACCCTGACACAGCAAGCAGCTCTTATCTGCACTATTACTTTGCAGGCTGCATCACTTACATATCCCAAACCCTTCTTTTAGTGGCTGTTCCATGCAGGGCTTGTCCTGCTCTATACATGTGCAGCACTTTGCACAGGGAGCTCCCTGCCTAAGGAATCAGAACCCCTCCCCATTTCCCAGCCCACGCTCCCTGAAGTCACATGCCTTCAGGCATTTCCACAAATAAAAGCTATTGCTAAGCCACAATCATGTCAGGATAATTCTAAAGGCTCATGGGATCAAGGCTGCAATTCTCTTCTTTAAGCACAGAGCAATTTAAGGCTTTCCACAGTTTAAACTTTAGAAAACAGATCCTGTAGGCAGGGTTTCACTGACCTGCATCACTTTCTCTCCCCTCCCTGACTGCTCTCATGACGAACTGATTTCAGAGCAGTGTAGTCACTCCTTGCTTGATCATGGTCCCTACTTACTATTAGTGTAAACAGGGAAGCTAGGGGCGAGATGCTACATGGTCCCCATGTTCCAATCCTGTAGACATCAGCCAGGCAGAACTGCCATAGCAAACCCTTTTGCCTATTTAAGAACAGCAGGATCTGGCCCCTCCACAAGCCTCAGAGCCAACACTTTAATGAAAACAAACAGAGGACAAGAGAAAATGCATGATATACACAGAGCAAAGTATTGTTTCAGAAAGGAAATGTTTTTTCAGTTTCCCATGAGGCATCAGTAGCTCTTCAAACAGAGCCCAAACCTCAAGTATGCCAGCGATTCACCATTCAAACACGAGCTCATTACCTCAACCCACCACTTGCAATTTCAGTCACTTTCAGTTTTCAAACCCCAAAATCAGAGCTCCAGGAACCACTGACAGGCACAGCTCCTCTGCAAGTGTAAGTGCTGAGCAAAGATCAAGGGCCAGGAAATCCTGCAATTCCCTAAACAAGGTTTCTTTATCAGCAAGGAGGGTCTGGCAAAGCCACAGGGACCATCACCAGCTCCTTCTCTTCCTCCACCAAAGGACAAGACAACTCTGTTGTTTTAGCCTCACCTAGCAGGCTTCAAACAGAACTTGTTCTGGTTCCAAAAAGGAGCACAAATGTCAGAGAGGAGGAGACACAGTTAAGTGCTTTGTTATCCACTACACTACACCTTTGTTTCCTGGGAGATTTGGGTTAGGTTGGCATCAGGTATCACAATCCAGGCTGTTCTGCCTTGCTTCAGGGTTATCCTTTCAGCAAGGAGCTTTGTGTGTATGTTCAGGTGTGTTAGCTGAGCATTGCATAAGACTGATGGAGGTAAACTCCAATGATTTCCAGTAACAGCCATGCTGTTTTGACTGGGGTGTTGTGTTCTGCCGTTTACTTTAGAAACCCCCAGCACAGGTACAATGTGGAGTAAATGAAACACTACACACCAAGTCAGATCTGCTCGTTCAAGTTAACTGAAGGAAGGCACTCTCTTAGGAAATTACATACCATTTGCTCCTGGCACACAAAGTGCCCTGGCAAAACACGGGTTTAAATGATTTGAAAGAATACTTACACTTCCTCCAGGTCCAACAGCTCTGCAAAGGCAGAAGGATCAATCTCCGTCAACTTGTTGTAGCTCAGGTTTCTGTTAAAGAAGAGACAGCAAGATCAGCATAGCACAGTTACCATGCTCACAAAAACACAGACTTAATTATTCTGGATTGCACTGGGAGGGTGCGGTTTGATTTGTTTTAAACAAGAGCACTTGAACACGGCAGGGCAGCACTTTTCTGTTCAATACGTGAATGAGTTAAGTTCCATGCTCAGAATGTTATCTAGCTCTCCCTAAGCTTTTTCCTCTCTTGCATTAGTGTGGTTTTAATTTGTCTTTATAGTGCACAATTACATTTATTATTCTTCTATTGGTTATTCACAACCACAAGACTAATCACAGATGAATAGGATATTTCCTGACAAATTAGAGTCTGAACTGAAGCAATCAGCAAACCTTCTGCTAAATATTTTATAGCTGTATTCACACAGTATTTTCACAGACCGCTGTGTTACATATAAAATAAATACACACAGGTACGCACACTTACTAGGTATAAACATAAAATATAGCGTACATTTTCTACCCAGATATTTTAAATCACTACATGTTTTTTTAATCAGTGATTAAAGCTACTCATGTAGCAGTACACACTTTGGTCCTTGACAACGTGACACAACTGACAATATAAATCCAGATCGTATTATAGCACTTCACTGATGGATGGCAAACAGGTTGTGTTGTATTATCTGAAAACAGCCTGGTGGGAGAGCAGAACTGTTCTGTGGGACATCCCCCCCGATTTGAAACACAGCCAGACCTCAATGTGCCTCTGGAAGAGATGCACTGCAAGGACTGCTAGCAACAGCAAGCACAAAATAATGCAAATAAAGAACCAGCTCACAGAATCATAGAATGGGTTGGGTTGAAAGGGACCTTCAAGATCATCTAGTTCCAGCTCCCCTACCACAGGCAGGGACAGCCTCCACTAGACCAGGCTGCTCCAAGCCCTGTCCAACCTGGCCTTGAACACTGCCACGGATGGGGCAGCCACAGCTTCTCTGGGCACCCTGTGCCAGCACCTGAGCACCTCCACAGGGAAGAACTTCTGCCTAAGAACTCATCTCGGTCTCCCCTCTGGCAGGTTAAAGCCATTCCCCTTGTCCTGTCCCTATAGGCCCTGGTCCAAAGCCCCTCATCAGGTTTCTTGCAGCCCCTTTAGGGGCTCTAAGATCTCCCCAAGACCTTCTCTTCTCCAGGCTGAACTAAACCCAACTCTCTCAGCCTGTCTCCAAGGGAGATGTGCTTTAGCCTTCTGACCATCTTCATGGCTCTCCCCTGAACTCATTCTAAAAGGTCCACATTCTTCTTGTGCTGGGGGCACCAGAGCTGGACTCCAAAAACCACAAGTAAGACCTTTGGCATGCTCTGCTGTAGCATCATACAGCACAACCGCAAAGTCTCCCCTCCAAGATATGCAGTATCAGCACACCACACACGACAGGTCAAACCTGCAGCTATGGGCTTACCAGGAGAGAACAGCTCAATTAAAACCAAGTGACTAATGATGTGGAAATTAACAAATGGCCTAATTAACATGATGTATGCAGTGTTGCATGTTCCTGTGAGCGCGTAATCTAAAGAGGGAGGAGGCAAATTGATGGGTGGTAGCAGAGGAACAACCACAGTAAGTTGTAAGGAAATTGTGAGGGGGACCTACTTTCATTTCACCCTGCTCCACACCCTGCTCCAGGATATTATCCTGGGTAAAATTCAACCCTCCTGTCTCCTCTGCAGGGAGGTTACACCCTCTTACTGCACCTCTGAACACAACCCAAAAGATTCACAGCTTGATTTCAGATAAGCCCTCAAACACTCAGCTGCTCATTCAAACCACCAAGCCAGTCTGACTAGAAAACCAGCCAATCTTCCCTGCGCTGTACGTTTTGTGTTGTTTTAAAGCTGCGTCCACAGAACCCAAGCAGGTCTGGAGGCCACACAGGTAAACAGGACCTAAATCGCCAAGGCACATAATGAACTTTTGCCCATGGTAAAGAGGACACAAGACCCATAAAAAAGGGCAGCTGCCAGAAGAGCATAGGTGAACACCTTCTGTTTGAATTGCTTGTGCTAACCCACTGCACTTCATGGTACTGCAAAGACAAATCCATTCCCACAACAACCTTACAAATACCAAGACTTGGAAGACCACAAAGCTTACCAACTTTGCATGATGAGCAGGAAGCAATAAACACCTCTTCCAAGTTAAAAAGCAGTTATTGATCACCTGCCCTCCTTATAATACACTTATGGGAAGTCCTCAAAAGCATTCCCTGCACATGGGAACCATTTCATAGTTCTCCCTCACACGCAGTTCCCCATCATCTCAGAGCAGCCAGCTCTGAAGGCAGCTCCTTGCATCTTGCCTGACATGTTCGATTTGATGCCAATACCTGATGTGAAAGAAGGCTCCATAAATCAACAACACAGGCTGGCTCTAAGAAGAACCTAGACCTGAAGCTACACAGGACTGTAAAACCTAACCAAGCATCTAGCTTTAAAATATACTGTCCTGTAAGGCCCTACTGTCTTTTAAAAGACTCAAGAGACCTTTAAATCAATACCAGCCTACAGCAGATATCCATTTCACTATGAACTCAAAGGCATTTATCTAAATAAAAGTCAAACTGCAGTTTAAACTCAGAGTGCGTCTGAAAGCCAAGTCCATACTCACAGCACAATTATGAATTAAAGTGCAATTTGCCCATAGATTACATTACTATTTTTTAAACCACACAGCAAGATCAGGTTGGAGCTTGCCCCTGCCTGATGCACAGACAAAAAAAAGAGAAAACACAACCGGCAATGTCCTATAGGCTCAATACAATAAAGATAAAGTTGACACAGAAATACTAGTGACAAACCGTAAGGGGAAAATACAGCCAGACATGACCGTGCATGAAACCACCTGTTTTCATTTCTATGCCTTCTATTGCTCCGAATCTTTGCATTTCTTAAGGTAACATATTTATCCTCAAAACATTCCTCTGCAATAAGCTAAGAAGCTATTCTATGAATCAAGCACTGAAAATCACAGGCACAAACTGATCATCCTTACCCCCATCCAAGGGACCAGATCCCTGGCTTAACCAGGGCTTAAGCTGATATGAACCTCAAAAGTTCACAAGTGAAAGAACAAATGTCTTGGTGAATGAAAGGATTTCATGGCCACAGTTTCAACATCATCAAGACTTTCTGATTATTGTTGCTGCCATTCATGAAGTTGGAACATCAAAGTCACTGCACAAGTAGCTGGCTCGTCAGAAGGCACAGGTGAACTACACCTTGTATGCCAAAGTCTCCAGTTCTCCCCATGCTACCCACTTTAACTGCCACAAACACACAATACACATAAAATCAGACAGGGAAATGAAAGGTAGAAATACAGAGTCAGTGTAAAATAAGCAGGAGATGAAGTCAATCATATACACCAAAATAAACAGTTTACTCCATTTCTGAGACCAGATGTATTTCAACTGATGTTAAAATGCCCAAGAATTTCTAGCCTGAAGCATTAGTAATCAAAGAATGTGTTTCCCAGAACGTGGATCCCCTCACCAGACAGTATTTGGCATGCTAGTCACAGAATTCAAATAGGAGAACGAACCAACATGCTCCAATACATAAATCATTGGGACTGGGAGTCAGGAAACCTCTGTCTATTCCTGTCTCTGTTAATCTCCTGCTGGGTGACCGGGTCATGTCACATCGCCTCTCCAGAGCTTTTGTTTCCACAGCCACCCTTTGTCTGTCTTGTCTATTTAGACTGTAAATAAAATTGAGGTAGGTATTGTCTTGGATTGCCTGATGCCGATGAAATGAGGCCTCAGTCTTGGTTGGGCTCCAGTAATGCAAATAAAGAGAACTCAAAACTTGAGGTCATGGGTACATATGAGACACTCCCTCACCACCAAGCATGGGTCCCAAATGTACAGCAGTGCACAAAGCACTGCAGGAGCTGTAACATCTCCATCAGCTCAGCCTCATCAAGCTGAGCAGACTAGCAATGCAGACTGGTTGGAGATGCCAAGCTCGGGGGCACAGCTGTCTCATTGCTGAAAACTGTCACATTCCTGCTCTCCCATAGCACTGAACACATCACTTCTCAAGAAGCCTCTTGCTCTGATGGCATGCAGTAGTGCAATGGATCACTGAGCACATCTTTCTGCCATCAGTATTCTAAAATGCCTTCAAAGAGCCCTCAAAACTCAAAGCAAAACCTATCCTTTCCTGAATCAGAAGTCCTCTAAAACACCTGAGCTATGTCAAATACTGGGCATCTCTTCAACATGGCAGTTTCTAAAGCATCATCTACAATGCTTTATGCCGGTCCCAAGAGACCTTGTCTTTGTGTGGTCTGCTTATTTCCTGACACCTGCATCTCCATATGGAGTCAGCCAAACCCAAGTGTGGACATACCCACACAGAAAGCAGACTGCCCCGTGTCCTGCCTGCTTCCCTCCATGGGTACATGTTTCCACTGAATTACTCATGGGAGGGTATTTTGATCTATCCAAGGCAACTGTGGAAAGAAAACAGAATTCAGACAGCCAACAGAAATCCTGGACAAGAGCCTGTGCTGTAAGTCCAGGGATGCATCTTACAAAGGTCAAAAGCTTCTACAAATGGCAGAGAAGACAGAGCCACCAACTTGAGTGGGCTCAAATGTTCAGATTGTTTTTTTCCCTGTTGAATAGAGACGCTGCTCTGAAGTTTGTGGGTCTTTTCAAACTTTATTTTCACTTAATGGTATGAGACATACTCTGCACATTATTTATCCATTGCACACTTCAAGTCTTCCTTGTATTGGCTAATCCAACAATGTAGGGTTTTTCCCCCTCCAGTCAGTAAGATGACTGTGATCAGGAACTGAGGACTTTTTAAATCAATATGGGAGGGCCCTGTTCTATTCATCCATTCCAGACTGAATAAGAGAGCAGGGTTTGCCTTCAGTGCACATAGCGAAAATGGCACTGTGGATCACTGAACAGTGCAGAGACTAAAAAGAACACCTTGTTAAATAACCAAGTACACAGCCTGCCTTGAAACCATGTCCTGAAAGTAATGATGCTGTCACAAAGGGTTCTGCTTGCCAGCAAGGAAGGATCAATAAGCTCTTTGAACCATGAGATGCCAATCCTGCCTCCTTGGGCAAGGAGCAGGGTAGAGCAGGAGTTCACATAGAAGTTAAGGCTCTGTTTGGGAACTTAATCAGCACAGAGAGGAGTCACCTCTCTTAAAAACAGAGGTGCTTGGCTGGCTTGATAGACAAAGGAATGGAGACACAGGCAGCTCCTGGTCTGTGCTCACCATGATGATGGCTGAATTCTGTTTAGCAAGGTGAAGGTTTCCGACCCTTACATCAAAACCATTTATCTGTCAGTGCAGAAGATTATGTCAAAAGCGTTTCTCCACCTTTTGATGACAGGCATTGGATAAAACGAGGATGGCTCAAAGTTCTGCCACTGCCAACTGTGGCTTTCATTAAACACTTTGTCAACCATTGTCATAACACAACTTTTCATTGCTCCTGCACAAAAGGGAGCCGAGGGCCCAGAACAATCGAGCCCTGCAATAGAAATTCCTTTGGCTAATCTGTCGAAAGATAGCTGCCTAGTCTGCAGCTTACTGAATAGGCACCATCCTCTTCCCACATGTTTGTGGATGGCTTTACAGCACAGGAATGGAGGCCCCATGCACACTTGATTGGGTATGAAAAGCATGGCTTCAGCTGAATTAGCTTGGGGATGGGGGCCAGGAAAACAAGAGGGGGAACACACTGCCCATGCTAAAAGTATACAGCTGTGCAGAAAAGCAAGCACACACAAATTTCTCTTTTGAACAAGCTCATGAGCTCCCAGAGAGATGGCAGAGTCCTTGTATGGAGTGACATGTGAGGCTTAACACTGAAGTACAAAGACATCAAAAGGGACTGCAAGGATTCGGGTGGTTGTACGCATGTAAGGATGGAAAGAAGCAGCTTTAGTCTATTTTTTCATCCTTGTGCACAGGACAAGCCCAAAAATCTACTTCCATAAGGCAAGAAAGAGTAGCCAAACAGCTACTGCAGCTACTGCCAGCTACACCTGCACTGCACAGCAACACCTTCCCTTAAAGGGGAATTTTCCAGCTTCCACTAAACAAATGGCCACCAAATGGAGTTGTGTAAGCCACCACAGTGATGAGAGTCAAGAGGAGCTTTCACATGCTGGACACATAGTCCTTATTTACTTTCTGAAGGATTTCTTGTAGATTCATTCGAAGTGGCTCAGGCACTGCAAGAAGATGAAGCCTGGACTTAGAGGAATCACCCACCCAACCCAACACAGCCATTCCTGAGTTTCCTTTAAATCTGGCCTGCTAAACTGACAGAAAACTCACAGATTCTTATACCCCTCAGGTGCCTCATCACCCTCACCTCTGTTCCACTGCTCCCAAACTCAGTGTCACAAGCCTATGGTCAGCAAGGACAAAGAACAGCAGTACGTCCTTGCTGAAGGGTGCACTGAAGGGCTCTGCACCCACAGTACATCCTGTGTTTAAGCCAGCCTCGAGCATGAGCTCGCACACTGCTGAGCAATACTTGGGACTGACTGGGCTGTGCAGCTTCTGGGATGCTCAACTTCTGGGGTGCCCGTGGCTGAGACAAGCCAAACTCCTCATGATTTTACAGTGCACCCTGATGAGCTCTGCTCTACCCAGCTTACAAGAGAAGGCACACTGCTGGGGCACAGAAGTTTCTCACATGAAGCATCAGCAAGAGCTGCCTCATAAAAGGAAGCAAGATCCACAAAACACAGGGCAGCAAAAGTGAATGTTCCTTACTGTTCTGTGTGCTTTGGAGAGAAGAAGGGGACCCTATAGGGCACTGGAATGACAAGTCGCACCCACGTGGGTAAAGCTGTGCCCCATCACTGAGCAGTCCTGCTAGCAGCTAAGCGAATGTGCTCACTCAGGCTTTACTTATGCCCTAGCTCAAATTAGCAGCAGCAGCATCATATTAGCCTGGGTTAATAGCCTGCTCATATAAGGGGCTTTATGTGCAGAAAGGAGTCAACCTAAGGGCAACCCTCAAGCCATAATATGAGCTAATTTGACAGTGAAGACAAACTTTGAGAGGTCATCCAGACACCAAGAAAACTGCACCATGAATCACTCTCAGTCATGACCAACAATACTGTCTAAAGGAAATTCCTGTGGCATGATCACCGAAGAATCAATACCATGCTGATTCTAGCAGATGCATGCAGTCATTAATGCAAAGAACATTAATTAAAACCTCATCACTGAGAAGCATTGTGCTGGAGTACAACTTAAACATGTGATAGATATGGTTCAAAGAGTTAGGGAATTAGCTTCAAGTAACTCTCAGGCATGTATTCTCAGCCCTGGCTCTTCCTCCTCCTCTGCCATTTCTGCCCTCACAACTGTTCCTGCTCACTAGCACAAAGATCTCATCTGGTACATAAGGGTAAAGGTACTACCAGAGCTGGTCTGCTCACGTAGGGCTGCAAATGTAGGCATCTCCATCACTGCTGGCTCCCTGGCTCAAACAGGCAGCACAAGAGAGCGACCACACTCTGGCTGAGGAAGGGCACAGAAGTGTTGCAGCAGCATTGGGTAAGGCTACATTAATGCTGGAGGCTCCTACATCTCCTACAAACAAGGAGCTTTCAGAGGCTTTACTTGTCTCTTTCAAAAAGGGCAGTGTCAGATTATTTTAGGTCCTGTTCAGTTTACACAAATGTGTTTTGACAAAAGCTAGGATCCCATTTCCTGCTATTTTAATAACCTTAGCAAAACTAAAGTGCAGTTCTTTGCTGCCTTTTTCTTATTTTGCTTGGAAAACCATCTCCTCCAAACACCTCGATTTTTTAAATTTTTTCTTAAAGAAAGATTAGCTTCAGATTAATCTACATAATCACACACAGCTGCAAACACACAACATATATGCAAAGCACTCTGGTAACTCCGGTGCTTACAGACATCTTGCTATACCTCTGCAGCATCAGGAAAAGTGTAAGGATACTCATTTTACCAAAGGTTGATCCTGGTCCACCCAACAGTTGTTCTCTCAGCATTTCAACTGCTCCATGCTCCAAAAAGAATAAAAATGAGATTTCAATAAGTGAAGTAATTTGAAAGCCATCCAATGGCCTCAGCCCTTCCTGCAGCCAGCAGGGACCCAAACCAACTGAGGATGGCTGGACAAAGCAAGCATGAATGACAAGGTATTCAACAAGGCTTTCTCTGCTTCTGAAGATACTAGCAACACTTAGCTCACAGATACTGAGACCATAAACTCTCCCATCAGGACTGCATGTTCCTCCTCTCCCAAAAGGCAGCATTGTATGCAGGGAACAGGGATGCTGAAAGGCTTAAAGCAGGCGAGATGTAATTGCAGCAATTTCACTTTATTTGCTGCTTCTGTTAAGCTGCACCGCCTGAAGGAGGCTGATCCTCCCCAAAACACACTGAGCCATCAGCTGCAAGGATCGCCTCAAAGCACAAAGATGTTTCAAAGAGGGCACGGGCATCAAATAACTACTGAATTAACATAGAGCAACCCTGGTTTGCCACCTGCAACAGGTAAGGAGCTGGAAGGAAAAACAGGATGTGGAAGACTGGTTTTTAACCCACAAATAAAACTCTTCCCTTCATCCTCCCAAATACCCACAGGGTTTGTTCTGTGTTTATTTAATCAAAGTGCTGCCTGCTGTTGTGAGAAAGCCATACCCTAAAACCAAACCCCTGCACATTGTTTGCTCCACTGCATGAACAAACTCACCTTCCAATTTGATGGCAAATTCTGCCTCCACAAGGCAAAGCACACTATGTCTCAGAGTGCTGAAACAAGGGCTGGAGGCCTAATTCAAGCAAAATGCCTATGAAACAAATTGCTACTGCTTCCATCACCACTGTGTTTCTCCAGTAAATCAATAAAGGCCATGACTTCTTTACTAACATTTTCAAATAGGGCTCCCCGCTGTGTATTCAACACACTAAACCAATTTATTGAGGATTAACAACTATATAATTCACCACCACGTCCACCTTAGAACAACTGCTAAGCCTCCATCAACTGATAACAAGAGCTACACTGATAAATCACCTCTAAGTTCAATTTAGAGTTTCAAAACCTGCTGCTTCTGCAAAGCAAATATTTCCATCTCAGAGTTGTGCAATTTTTCACAAGTACTCGCAGCAGATAAACCACGTTAAACCTTTGGCTTGTTTGGATGCTTGGAAAGACCCAGGGCTGTGTGTTTAACTGCTGGCAACCCAACCCTGCCACCACATGACTTTGCAAAATCCAGCTGTGGGTTACGAGTTGAGTGCTGAAGGAAAAGGGAGATAATCCAGGCTCCCCAGACACTGTTCAGAAGCTTTCACAAGAAAACATCCTAGGTCAACAACCATTCAATAGTATCCAATAACCCATATTTTAAGATATGCTTTCTTCTAAAACACTCAACTGTGATGTGCTCTGCTCTCTTTGGGGATGAAAGTGGTTTCAGTCATGTCTGAAAGCACTTCTGGTAAGCTCAGAGAGCTTCACTAGCCAAGAAGGCGTTTTTCCACTGCTTCAACACCACAGTTCATCAGAAACACCAAGTAAATACATCACCTGGCCCACCTCTGACAGTACCACCATGTTCACATACACACAGCTCCAATGGCAGCACAGGGCACAGCACCACATGTCCATGCTGGAGCAAAGGTTGGTCAATCATTAACGGCAGGGAGAAGGGCAGGCAGCCTGCTCCCATGCTGTTTGCTCAGCGCTTCATTCTCTACTGATTCTTCCCATTAACAGTTAATTGGGAAGGACGGATCTCCCCCAAAAAGCACACTCACTTGGAAGCGGCACAAAGGAATTTTGTGCGCTGGTTAAAACTAGTCAGGCAAAGAGATGAGGCAAAAGGTACTGGGAAAACAGCATGCAGGTTTGTCTTGCAGCTCAGCCGTGGGGATCACCAGCTTGCTCTCATCTCTCTCTCACCTAATGCTGCTTTTAACACCAGAGAGGGGCTGCAGCACCTCCCACCCTCATACAGCAGAACACTGGAAAAGCAAAGAGGCATCTCCCATTCTCTGTCGACCCAGGCTGACTGCACTACACCATTATCACCAGTGGCTGCTGCTCACCCAGTACATCTGCTGCATCATCATCTATGAGATATCTCAGCAACTATGTTGACTTGAAGCTCTGTCCCATTTGATGTGCTGCAAAGAAGGTGACGCTGCCCATGGCAGGGGGGGTGGAACTAGATGAGCTTTAAGATCCCTTCAAACCCGAACTATTGTATGATTCTAAATGACCAGAGCCAAAGCAGCTACCCCAAGCACTGGTCATCCCTCCTGTCTCTGGCCCCCTTCTTCCCACCTGGTGGCAATAACTACTCTCACATAATCCCCAGAGAATCAGCAGCTTTCCACAGTGGAAATAATCCCTTTCTGATCCTAGCAGCAATCTGAGTGGAATTACATTGGACTTCTTGCTATGTTCACCATAAAAAAAAAAAAAAAAACAACAACAAAAAAAAACCCCACACTCAAGCAAGGACATTCCCTTCAGTTTTCAATGCTGTAGTCTGAAGTTGAGAGGTTGACCAAACCCTAAGACCTTGTGCATGGAAAGGAATGACACATACAACCTCAAAGCACCAGCTAACGGTTCATGCTGGCAGCACTGCATGATGCTGTGCCAGCTCTAATCCCCCAGAGGTGTGAAAAAACATGGGGCAGACAGCTCTCCATTTGCAGGTTAAAAATAGTTCTTTATTACAAAGAACAGCATTTTAAGGGGAAAACATACACATTTTAAGCTAAAAAAATCCCTAAGCTGGCCATCCTTCGCAGGAGGTGTGTGGTTTACACAGGCATCCACACTCTCTCCTTTCAAGTAATCAATGTCCAATCATAATGCACTTTCATTCCCAGCACTTTTGCATTGTCAATAAAGCACCAAGCAATTTAATGGATTTCTAACCCCAAATTGGAAGCTGTACTGCATCCAACTGATTCAATTTTTTCAGTCTTAGAGGAAGCCCTGGAACAAAACGCCAGAAATAAAACCACACACATTGATAACATTACAGAAATAGATACACCAAGAAGCAAATGTTCTGTCCCTTTTATCTGATCTCCAACCTGTTTTAACTGACCTTCAAAGATGGAAAAGCTACATTTAAAAGACATTTCCACCTAGATCAACAGAAATAAAAGCCAAGCTATATAGAATGCTTTTGCTGCAAAACAAGGCAAATAAATTTACTTTTCACTTGACAATGAAAAGCCAGAAGAGACTTTCAATTTAATTTACTCCATATTTTAGGTCCTAAACAAACCATTTTCCTCAATAAGCTTGTTTCTCTGCACATGGTGCAAGAACAGCAGAGATGGCTTCCTTTGCCCTCGTATTATCACAAACTATAGCACCCAACAGCTGTATTACCACCTTTGCCTTTGGTGTGATAGGGGAGTTACCAAAAGTGATCCACAGTGCACTTCCTGCTGGCAGGAGAAAGCCATCAGGTTACTGTTTGACACTCTCCTCACATTGATTCTACGTGTAAATGATCACTGCAATTACAATAAGCATGACCTAGAATATAACATTCCTCCAGAAGACACTCTTCATTTTACAATGTGCTATATAGAAAGCTGTATTCCTGCCTCAGTGCTATGAGCAGGGCCATCTATCAGAACAGGCATTCATACTTTCTTGGCATAACTCCTGTAGTAGTGCTGTTTACTGCTGGGATAGCCACGGGATACCAGCAAGGATTTCAAAGCAGATGAAGCTGGTGCTTATGTCTCTGCCAAAAGAATGCCACAAAGAAGTCAAGGGGATGGTTAAATCTCTTGCTGCTTTCCATTACATGCCAGTCTTCACATTCCTTACATACAGCAGGATGTCACAAATAAGCATATATTCTTGCTCAGATAACTTGCACATGTTCATGACTTTCACTATGAATTTATAGATGCATGTGCAGCGACAAACACAAGCACATACACATCTATACCTGCAAAGGCAGTACACCTACAGTGATGTATACAGGCAGACAGGCTTTCTGAGGAGAGTTTGGGATAGCTGTACATATAGCTTATGAAGGAGTTGTGAAGAGCGCTAGTAAAAATCTTTATTGCACTCTGCCCCAGCACATAATGCTGCATATTTTACAGAAGCACTATTATTAAACATGTTTGAGAGCTTTACAGTTTTTATTGGTGCTATTTTTCAACTCCTTCCACTTACAAAGCCAGACTTCTTTATTAGCACAACTCAAACTGCAGAGAGACACAAAGAGAAAGGAACAGTTATAGCCAATAACATTTAGGAAATCCTTCACATGAGCTTACTCTTCCTCAGTCAGGTACCTCAGGACTTCCCAGGATTACAACACAGTCCCTGTTTCCAGTGGCTGCAGCTTTTTACTCTTCAGGTCTGTCGTGGTTTAAGCCCAGCCCGTCACTCAGAAACCACGCAGCTGTCCACTCACTCCCTCCCCATCGAAAGAATGTAACTCCCATGGGTTGAGATAAGAACAGTTCAGTAACTAAGGTATAACACAAACCACTGACTGCTGCTACCACCAATAATAATAATGATAAGCAAAATAACAAGGGGAGAGAATACAACCACTACCAGCTGTCGACTGATACCCAGCCTGACCAAGCAGTGAACCAGCCCTTCCGGGTAACTGCCCCCAGTTTACATCCTGGGCATGACATGCTGTGACATGGAATACCTCTTTGGTCAGTTTGGGTCAGGTGTCCTCTCTCTGCTTCCTCCCAGCTTCCCCTCCTCCCTGGCAGAGCATGAGACTCACAAAGTCCTTGGTCAGAGTAAACATTACTGAGCAGTAACTAAAAACATTGGTGTTATCAGCGCTGTTCCCAGGCTGAAAGTCAAAATCACAGCACTGCACCAGCTGCTAAGAAGGAGAAAAACAACTGCTACTGCTGAACCCAGGACAAGGTCTCTAAAGAGCAAAGCAAAGGTGAATCAGACAATCAATGAGGCTAGGCTTGCTCCTGCTCCCTACACTCCTTGTTGGGGCACTTGAGCTGAGCTCAAACCCTGCATTAGCATCACTCAGGCACTAAAGCTGAGCAAACGTTTCGCCTTCAGATCAGGAAGGTATTTTTTCCATCTACTTCAAAGGGATGTACTTCACTGGATGGATGCCTTGATTTATTATTCAGTGAACTCCCTCAGATTTGTGCAATTTCTCAGCTAAAAGCACAGCT